TTATTTGGATATTTGTCTTATATAAAGCCAGTACCGAATATCAGAGATCAAACTGTAGTGCACTCGTCTAGTAACACAGGTCTTACAACAATCCAATAAAAATGATCAAGGTGAGCCAATCTCAGCAAAATATTTTGATGAAATCATGCAATTCTTTATTAATAACCATGTTGTCTATACCAAATTATCGAATAATTCTACAAAAATGTATTTACATGAATTAGCAATTAAATTGTTTATAATTAAACTTGTTAATATTGTTTTTATAATCACAATCTTAAAATAAATAATAAAGTGAAAGTGGTTTTAATGAAATAACAAATAATATTTTCAATAAACAATTTGTTTAGTAATTTTATGAAACTTATTAAATTTATTTAGTTAAATTATTTAATAAAAGTAGGAATTATTCAATATATAATTTTTTACTTTCAATATAAATTTAAATCGACAAATTTAGTTAACTTTGAAAGAATTAAACCGGATTTTTCGACATTTCTTAAAATTTACTGAAAATTGTGTATTTTAGCATTTTTTAATTAAAAACAATTAATATTTTATCTATTTTTTTTAGGAACTCATTATCTTCGCTATTGCTTTTATCGCCGTTGCTTTAGCATATCCGGCAGATGGACCACAACCTGCGCCAATCCCAAATGACAAGAAAGAAGGCTTAGAAACAGCCGAATCTGCTTATGGTGGATACGGAGGTTATGGCGGATACGGAGGATATGGAGGATACGGGGGTTACGGAGGATACGGTGGATACGGAGGATATGGAGGTTATGGAAGAGGATTTGGTGGATTCGGAGGTGGATTCGGACATCGTCGTCATGGCTTTGGTTTCTACGGATAAATACGCCTTTCCTTTTTATAGGTTACGATCTTTTTTCAACATCAAATAATGTATAGATATTTTTTTTGAATGAAATAAATGAATATATTTTCAACCTAAACAAGTTAAATAATTTAATAATTACCCTCTTGTTTTTAACTAAACTATAAATAACAATTACATTTTTTATTTTAGAATTAAAAATATAAAGTATCTTTATAAAAGTACTGTGGCTCAGGATATGACGTCACGTACCAACCCGGTACGGTGCGCCCCACTCCAGCTGAGTCTTACAAGGGCATACACTTCGTTAACTTAAAATTATGTAAATTACTATATTGAATAAAATTTATTTTCTTGTTTCTTAATATCGTGTAAGGTTCTCTGTATTGGCTCTTGTGTCTCGGACTCACTATACTGTAAGATCTCTATTTTCCCTGTATTGTTAACTATCCGTGATTTACTCAAATAAACATATGTGTGAATACCGCCACTGTGGAAGTAATTGTTTCTACTCTACGAACATTCCTTTCCGATATCCATATAATCAAGCATCTCCAAAGTACAAAAAGACATTGTGAAAAAAAAATTAACGAAAATTCTATTCTCTTAAAAATATTAGAGATACTAAATATACCTAAATAAAGAAATGATGCAGCACGAGATTAAATTGCTATGGTATAATATAATTTTTGACCGGAAGGATTTTAAAACATATTTTTTTACTTGTAGATATGCAAAATAAGCAATGTTAGTCTCACGTATAATGAATTAATGGAGTTTGAAACTTGCGAATAAGATGAGAGACATAGGAATCGAAGCGGCGATGTCGTTGGTATTGTAAGCGAAAATCGATTGGAATATATCGTATCAATTAAAGCATTTTTCTACATACAAGCAATCATTCATCCAATTAATCAGAACTACTTAAAAGGTAATGATTTGTTTTAGTTTAGAGCTTAAGTTAAATGTACCCTTTTACAGCGGAATTGCAACAAAGTTTTGATAAAAGTGATAATGTTATAATGCTAAAACAGGATACCACTTACGGAGACCATCTTCAACTTCGATGTTAATTATTTGGATATTATTAAAGACGGTATTGCTCAGAACCAGATTAAAGTGAATACTGGTATAAGCGTGGAAAGGACAATAATTATGAACTTTTCTGACGCAAAACATATTACGCAATAGAAAGTTTGAAGTAAAATTATTTTGAGAAATATGATTCCCATAGTAAAAGTATTTTGTAGAAATCCGTTTGTACTTTGCCACATGTACTTTGTGACAAAGAATATCAGGTTTGCATTTAAAAAAATAATTACAAAAACTTTCAAACACATAAGTAAATAGTAAATATAAGTAATATAATAAGTAAATATAATGAATTTGATAAATTTGAATCCTATTAGGTTCTTCATGTAGAATTGGAAAATATGCCGATGCTGCACAAAGATATTGTGGATGCAGCTGTTATTGGTATTGCTGATGAAAGATTCGGGGTGTTGCCAATGGCTTTTGTGGTCAAAGATCAAAATTCTGAACTGAACGCAGAGGGCGTGAAATATTATATTGCTGGTGAGTTTTGATGGATTAAAAATTCAAATTAAATTTAGAAATAAGATAACACATATAAATTATTTATTGAATTGTTACAACAGATCGCTTCTCCATAAACAAACAGTTTCACGGCGGTGTGAAGTTTGTTGAAAGCATTCCCAGAGGAGCCACCGGCAAAATACTAAGAAGATTACTTCGCGAAACATTGAAAAAAATGATTCAAATGCTTCAAATTAAAAATATATAAATAAAATTTTATTGGCCTAAACATATTCTAATCATTTATTTTTTTAGGGCGGAGAGATGCATTGTCAATTATCTATGTAGTTTTATAGTTGTTGTTTTAATAAATTATTAATTAATTATTATTTTAATTTATAAACATTTATCATAATAATTAAAATAAAAACAATTTATTAATAAATATTTTATTAAATATTACTCCCTCTGTTCCAAAAAAGGGTCCGATTTTAGATTTTTTAATGAATTATTCAAATAATGAAATTAAATGTAATTATTTATATAAATTAAGCATGGAATAAGTGATTCTAATAAGTAATAGTAAGTCTAATTAGCAAATGCAATTATTTTGTTTTAAAACATAATTACAGTTTATATATAAGCAAAATATTATTTGATAAAACTTGCATTTCAATTATGTATAAAGTATTAGTATTCGATTTTACATTAAAATTGGAAGATAAGCTGATGCTATATTGTAAATTTAATAAATAATAATATTTATTGAATGAAATTAACAAAATATAAAACGTATCTAACAAGAACTTTTTTTATTAACAATTATTAAAACATTTAAAACTTATTTAATTTTCACCCTTAATTAAGGGAATAACGGTCAAAATGTTATTACCAAAACGTTTAAAATTAATCCGTGTAAAATCAGGTTTGAGTGTATATTTAAAAATCAAACGTCGTAGCAATTAACAATCCACACAATGAGTCCTTGCATTTCAACACACTGTGGCGAGATGCATGGATCCATATTATTCTAGTGTACATTTATGCATGCCGTTATTGACAATTCCATATTCGAAAACTGCATGGTAATATGAGGATTTAATATCAACACCAAGAAATCAAGACACATTTCTGCATCCCTGGGCTAATCTGATTCATGCGTTTACATACCCCTCCTACATATATTATGCAAAACAATCGAAGCACTACTCCGGACATCCTTGTCTCGAGCTTGGAACTCGTCCCGTATCTGGATTCTGATCATCTGGTGATCTAATTTGAGCTGAATGTGAGGGGTTCCTCCGCACTCGTGCCGACGGAATTCACGCTCAGAGTGGACAGATGCAACATGGACCAAACTAACGAGGAAATAAGAAACTTTGTCGTCGTTAACCCGGTGCTGTCCGAGGATGTTATATCAAATTTCAATCAAATATAATCATCAAGGGCGACTAATGGCCTGTCCAGTCGCCCTATCCACGGTCCCGTGGACGCCAATTCATCATAAATAGATGAAGTTCAGCATATGAACCTCCGGCCAAGTTGATGAACAATGTTAGTACTGAAGTTAACCTACAAGACAACAGCCAACCAACAAAATAAAAAGAAGAAAATAGCCGCCATTAGATTGAATATTCCTCAAAACTAAAAAAGAACTAATTCCAATACAAATTACCACCATTCCAAAATTCTGAGAATTATGAAATTAAGAAAAGATCCAATAATATAATAAATCCATCCAAAGACTGATGTCTTACTTTTATTCTTTACGAGCACATATTAGCAACCGTTATAATTGTGGTGTTTTTTTTATATATTTTTTGTAAATTATATTATTATTTCCTGAACAGAAAGACCATTGCAGCTGTTGAATTTTATTGTATTGAGTTTATTTATTTTGTAAATTAATGTTTCAAGAATAATAGTTATTATTATATTTGTGATAGTAAATAAAAAATAATTATACTTAAAAATAATATTTATTTAATAACATAAAAAAATAAATAATTATAGTAGAATAATTCTTATAAATAATTTGTTAACATTTAAATAATATGAATATAAGAAACTAATTTAATTTGCACATTTATTAAAAAAAAACTTTGATATTAGAACAAATATTTATTTTAAGACATTTTTTATCATAATAAATTAATGTGAATTGACTTACATTTTAGTAGAGTAATGAATATTTACTAAATATAACAAACTAAATAAATTATAAATGATAATTATTATTATATTTAATTTATCAAAATAATTAAAAATAGGGTTTAACTTGATTTTAAAGATATTATGATCGTATATAAATAATTAGTAACAATAGAGTGAATTTAAATTAATTGGAACAATTACTTACACTTTATTTAATAAAATTGAAATAATAAACAGTACTATTTATCTATAAAACCGTACAGATTACAACAAATTATAATAACGCTAAATGAAATTATTGTTTATGCCCAGTTATAGATGTTGACTAACAACTATGATCGATGAAGTAAGGGGAGTGGATAAGAGACAAAGTGGAAGTAGTTTGTCTTGCAAAAAATTACAATTTATTTGGATATGTGTCCTATATAAAGCCAGAACCGAAGATCAGGGATCAAACTGTAGTGGACTCATCCAGTTACACAGGTCTTACAACAATCCAATAAAAATGATCAAGGTGAGCCAATCTCAGCAAAATATTTCGATGAAATCATGCATTTCTTTAGTAATAACAATGTCCTCTATACAAAATTATTCAAAGAAATCCACAAACAAATGCAATTTGAATTACCAATTATAAAAATTAAAAATATTCAATCTTTAAATAAATATAAAAGTGACAACATTTTTATATTTTTTTTTAATTAATTTTATGAAATTTGAAGAAAGTATTTCATAAATAAATAATAAAAAAAATAGTAATTAATAATAATAATAATTTATTGGCCAGACACTAAATATACAAAAAAAATATACATCCTATAAATAAATATAAATGATAACAATAAAAATGAAATATTAACTGTAAACAAATAAAATAAATTCTAACATAAATTATCAAAAAATAGCCTGTTAATTAGCCTAGGTCTTTTCGCCCTGATAATTATTATTATTTGACAAAATTAATAAACATTGAAATTCTATTAACCAGATTTATTTACATTTTTTAAATAAATTAGAAATTTCGAATTTAAAGAATAATAACTAATATTTTATCCATTTTTTTCTTAGGAACTCATCATCTTTGCTATTGCTTTTATCGCTGTCGCTTCGGCCTATCCGGCCGATGGACCACAACCTGCGCCAATCCCAAATGACAAGAAAGAAGGTTTGGAAACAGCTGAATCTGCTTATGGTGGATATGGAGGTTATGGTGGATACGGAGGTTATGGAGGATTCGGAGGATACGGAGGTTACGGAGGATACGGTGGTTATGGAGGATATGGGGGTTATGGAAGAGGATTTGGTGGATACGGAGGTTTCGGACATCGTCGTCATGGCTTTGGTTTCTACGGATAAACAAGCCATTATTTCTTAGATGTAGTGATCTACTTTCAACATCAAACAATGTATGCATATATCTTTTTATAATAATAACATTGAAATAGAAAACAAAATTAAATAAATTAATATATTTTTCTAAGTTTACGTCTCAATTTCATTATGATTAAACACCATGAACATAAACAAGTTACATAATTTAATAATTATCGTCTTCTTTCCAACAAAACAATAAATAACAACAACATTATTATCTTTAAAAATAAGTTAACAAGTTCCTATCTAGTGAACAAAGAGTCTCAAATATCAAAACAATTTAATAAAATTACAATAAGAAATTTTAAATGAAAATGTATCTATTTCATTGAAAATTAAATTCACATAATAATTAAAGAAATTATAATTTGATTTTCATAATCATGTAAATAAAATACGTTTCAAGACTTTCAAAATTAATTAATTTATAACAATAATTTGAATTTTTCCTTCATATTAGAAACTTATTATGTATTTTCTAAACTTTCTGATATGTTATTAAAACAAACAATCAGGTTTGGACTTTATATATTATGTAATTAAATGTCTACACTAATATTTATTACAGATTATCCAATGAAATAGAAAAAACATTTAAAATAGGTGGATGAATATAATACATAAAAATAGAATGAAAATTATGATACTAATGGTGTTAACAATTAAATAAAAATGATCTTTAGAAATTTATGGGAAGCATAACTACCCGATAATAGTTTTAGGCACTTTGACTGGAATTTTGGAATAATTTGTATATTTAATACATAATAATAAAAACTTTTATATTATGGCTACAATCCGAGGTTTTTCTGCAAACTTTTATATTTAATTATTATTGATATGCCCATTGATGTTATTTGATAATTATTTTCTATCTACCTTAGTAATTATTTTCACTGATACTTCATATAAAGTCTGTTATTCAATAAAATTTGTATTGCAATTATTTTTAATATCAATTACGACGTATAAACTTCAATCTGTAATGGATAAAAATTTGGGTCATGTCTTTCTACAAGTTTTGGAAATGTTATTTTTTGACCGGAATGCTCTCAAAATAAATTGTTTACATATTATATATGCAAAATTACCAACGTCAGTCTCACGTTTAAAGAAATATTGGTAAATAGTTTAAATTTTGCAAAGAAGGTTCCAAATAATAAAAAGAATAACAAAAAATGTATATTAAATACTCTAAAAATTGTATATAAATAAAAAAAAAGATGAGTGACGTTAGAATCGACACTGTACCGAATATCGACACAAAATTTGTTGATACAATGACAAATTAGAAACTGAATTTTGATAAACTAGAATTAATTTATTTGAAAAGTTAATAATGAAAGAATATATTGGAAACATTGAGGCTTCATTATAAATCTTTGGTACTTCTTTATTAAAGTAGTTGATTAAAAATAATTATAAAAACTTTGTATCACTATGAATTATGTACTGAAAGCAGTATGGTTCTATTTTACATATTTTTCTTCCTGAGAAATTGCGTATATGCTGATGTTATTGGTATTTCTGATGAAATAGCGGAGGAACTGCTAATGGATTTTGTGGTGAAACTCCAAAATTCTAAAGAAAAAACGAAGAGGAGATGAAGTAGTATAATGCTGGTGAGTTTTAACAGTATTTGAATCTACAAATTAAATCACATTTTATCCGAAGAATTGTATATACTTTTTATAAAAGAAGTGGCTAGCACATCTTCCAGAATTGTATTTTTATAACGACGTTTTCACTAGTAAACCAAAATATGGAAAATTGCCATAATTGAAATTTTATAAATAATTTCATTTTAAAAACCGAACTATCTTATTTTATTGTCAATTGCAAAAACCAAAGACTTTTCAAATGGGAAGAATCGTGATAGAAGTAAAAGTACAAATAAAAATAGAAATTTATATTGATTCACCATTTTTTATATTATCTGCGGTAATAGAATTAATATTAGTTGCTATCTGAGAGATCGAGAAATAATTTAGTGCAACAATGACTTAAACATAGATAATTCTGTTAAGTCTGCAACTAATCGTCTCTAGTATGCTTGGGCACATTCAAGAAATTGAAATCAATCGTTCTAAAACTGCTATCAATATTAAAACAAATGATGGCAGGAAACATTTACACGAAATTACCTTGTTTGATAATGCTTTCATCAGAATTATTGCGACATATCCGGCCTATGGACTTCAACCTACACCAATACCAAATAATAAAAAGGAGGCTTGGAAACTGAATTAGACTACGATTATTGCGGTTAAATTTTATAATTATCCAGATTTGATTAAATTGACTAATAATAATAATTTTCTAAATAACTACGTTATAAATACGTACATACAAATTATAACAACATCAAAATACATTATTGTAAAGAACTACTAACTTATTTTCAAGAATTTTGCAATTACCTGGATTATAAGATATTTCTTAAAGTTCATTACTAACAAATTTTTAAGTAATGTAAATGATTTACCAATTTTTATTAGCTTTAATTTGAGTTCTACCCGAATTATTTCTTGTCTTTGATTAAAAAATAATTTTAGTTGAATTAAATAAGGCTAATAAATATTTATTTTTATTGATTAACAAAATAACTAGATGATTTTTCAAAATTACAATAATTACATTACAGTATTTACGCAAAGAAATCAAATTATGTGAAACATAAAACAATCAATCATTCTGTTAAACCTAATTGCAATTGTAATTAATAATATAATTTGATATAACTTTAAAAAATAAAGATATTTTTTATCTTCAATTCAATTAATTTTTAGTGGAATAATATTATATTTATGATTATGACTAGATTTTAAAATGATTTATAATAAATAATTGTTCAATTATAAGGTAATTATGATTTTATGTAAATAACATAAATTATTAACACGTAAGAATTTATTTAATTCAATTAAATTGGAATAATTACTTACACTTTATTTTATTAAATTGAATTACTAAAGTATAGTACCATTTATGATTAAAACTGTACAGATTACAACAAATTACTTTAATTCTAAATTAAATGATTGTTTATGTCTAGTGATGGATGTGGACTAACAAGTATGACTATGCTCTGTGCAGTGGCAAGAATTTTGCGAAGTGATTTTCTGGAAAAAGAGGGAGTGGATGAGATACAAAGTGGAAGTCGTTTGTCTTGTAAAAAGAGTACTATTTATTTGGATATGTGTCCTATATAAAGCCAGTACCGAAGATCAGGGATCAAACTGTAGTGCACTCGTCCAGTTACACAGGTCTTACAACAATCCAATAAAAATGATCAAGGTGAGCCGATCTCAGCAAAATATTTCGATGAAATCATGCATTTCTTTAGTAATAACCATGTCGTCTATACTAACTTTACAAAAAACATGAATTACCAATTCAATAATTGTTAATATTATTTTTTTTTTATCTAAATTTACAATATTACGGTTTTAAAATAAATAAGAAAGTGGTAGCATTATTTTGTTTAGTAAATTTATGGAACTTGTTAAATGTATTTGATTAAATTATTTAATAAATTAAAGATTTATTTAATCTATATATTTTGGATACATTAGATTTTATTTTCAAAGTAAATTTATTTCAATAGAAATCAGTTTTATATTATTTCAAATTAAAAAAGAAACAACTAATATTTTATATATTTTTTATCCAGGAACTCATCATCTTTGCCATTGCTTTAATCGCCGTTGCTTCGGCATATCCAACCGATGGACCACAACCTGCGCCAATTCCAAATGACAAAGAAGGCTTGGAAACAGCTGAATCTGCTTATGGTGGATACAGAGGTTATGGCGGATATGGAGGATACCGGGGCTACGGAGGATACGGAGGATATGGAGGGTATGGGGGTTATGGAGGTTATGGTAGAGGGTTTGGTGGATACGGAGGATACGGAGGTTATGGACATCGTCGTCATGGCTTTGGTTTCTACGGATAAACGCTCCATCCTTTCTTTTAGATGTAATTATCTTCTTTCAACACCAAGCAATATATGAATATTTTTTTTTTGCAATAATAACATTGAAATAGAAAACAAAATGAAATAAATTAATATATTTTTTTACGTTTTCGTCTCAAATTAATTATTATTAAACACTATATTTTTAACCATGAACCCAAAGAAGTTACATAATTTAATAATTATTATCTTGTTTCAAATAATAACATTCTTATCTTATAAAGTCTCAAATATCAATTCAATAGAATCACAAGAATTTTAATATTAATATTTTGTTTGTATAAAATGAAACGAAAAATTCGATTCCATTAATTCGATAACTAATTAAAAACAAATGTTTCTCACTTGTATTGTATAATCATGTCAATAAAATACTTCGAAATATAAAAAAAAATATGGATGAAAGCGAAAATCAAGTTCTTAGACTTTCAAAATTCATTAATTTATAACAATAATTTGATTTTGGCCTTCATATGAACTTTACAGCTAATTTATGATATGTTTCCAAAACTTTCTGATAGTTTGCTTATTACTTCTTATGATCACAAATTCAAAAAATATTGTATACAAAATTCAAATTGAAATAATTATTATATGAACCGTTATTTTTGAAAGTGGTGCATTTTTTCATATATCGAGATATTTAAGGGTTTGCGTTTGAATCGATTTAAAAATATTGGAAACCGTTAAACAATTTGTGTGATGTTTTTTTACAATATACTTTATTTATTTACTCACATAATTGAATCAAAATAGAATGCCGTTTCCATTTTTTTATTAGAATGAAAACTTGGTAAAAATTCAAGCAGAAAAAAGTGATGTTATACGAAATGCGTTTGTGATCAACAACTGTTCATCGATTGACTCTATTCTAAGATGCAATTTGTGATGGGGAGTGAATGTCAATAAAACCTCGAAAAAATTCCATCATTTTGGTGGTGCAGAACATATATAAACTCAGGACCAAAAAATTCTAATCATAGAGTGCATTCGTTCAGTCATAGACATATCTAGCAGCCTTCCAACAAAATAAAATGATCAAGGTGAGATGATTTCCACTGTTTCCTTGTTGAATCTTTTATATTTTTCTATCATTAATTAATTTTGATTTAAAATATTCATTAAATGAAGGTAATCTAGAGATATTTAGCACGATAATCTGTGTTTAATAAAATAAATTTAAAAAATATTCAAAAATTAATATTTGTTTTATCATTTTATTAAAGCTACTTTAATTTACAAAAAATATTGAAGTTTAATTCAATTTTCTAAGCAATTGGAAAACATGTTTTTATGTGTTTTATTGCAACATTAAATTTTGAACGACATAATGCATTTCACATGAGGTATCTAATTGGGATTTTTACTTATATACATAAAACATATTGTAGCGCATAAACGAAAATAAAAGTAATGTGGTGTTAATAGGAATAGTTGGAAAAGTAAGTTCAAATATATAAGTAAAAAAATGGTGTTAGTGGGGTTGCATATAATAACTATTTTTCTAATATTCTGTGTATTTTCAGAGCTGACTTAATGAATATAGTAATTATTGATTTTGACCATATATTTAACAATTAATAAAAAATATCAATCAAACATTGAATTCGAATTCGATCAATCCAATTTGAAAATTTCAAAGCAAACTAAATTTTAATTGAGAAAAATAAAAATGAATTCTAAAATTTAATACACAAGATTATTTTTTTTATACCAAAATATGTTGTCGTTTTTTTCACTTTAATTCATTTCTAACAGTTATTCGTTTTTTTACTACTAATTTATGATGTATTGCCTACAGTTTCTGATAGATTGCTAATTGTTTATAGTATATATTTTATATAATTTATCTATATGTTTTAATGATGATTATAAATTAAAAAATTAGTACATAAAAAATATTTATTGAAATATTGATTTTATTTATATTCCATTTAAAATTATTCAGTAAATTTAAAATAATTATTAATGAAGTCAAAATATAACATTGAAGAATAGAAACTAATAAATATTTTCTATTATGAAAGAAAAAATATGTTTTTTTTATTATAAATTTTTGTATTTAATTTCTCAATTAGTCCGCTATTGCTGTATTTGAAATACATTTTTCTCTGAAAGTTTAAAAACTCTCTGTGTTTGTCATACTTAGGGAATCATTATTTTTGCCGTTGCCGTTGCGGCTGTCTGCTCGGCATACCCTGCTGAAGATGTAAAAAAGACATCGGAATTCGTCCAAATTCCAAGTGATAATCAAGATGAGAGTCTTGAGACTGCTGAAACTGCAATCCGTGGATACGGTTACGGTGGAGGAATCGGTGGATTTAAAGGAGGATATGCTGGAATCGGAGGATTCAAAGGAGGTTATGGTGGAATCGGTGGAGGAATTGGCGGATTTAAAGGAGGCTATGGAGGTATCGGTGGAGGAATTGGTGGATTTAAAGGAGGCTATGGAGGCATCGGCGGCGGAATCGGTGGCTTCAAAGGAGGATACGCAGGAATCGGAGGATTCAAAGGAGGCTACGGCCGCGGTTTTTTGGGTTAACAATAATCCATAATCTGAGAGTAATTCTTGTGCAATATTTTTGTTAATAATATAGTTTGAAAATAATGCATCATTTAATGCTGATGCTAAGTTCATATATGAATGTATTGAGTAAGAGTTTTATTTTTGTGTCAAAAAGTGTATTATTAAATTGAGAGTATTGAGAGTAAACATGGTTTTCTAAAACAAAAGGAATTTCCGTTGATATTTTGTTGGTGAGATTGAAAACCTTTCACAATGTGAACGATTTAGTTTGGTCTTGAAATTATTTTTACATTTGAGTAACAAACTTTTATTCATGTTCTTTTTATGATATTCAGGGAAAACCCAATAAAACTTTTTTTTAATAATTAGCTGTAAAAATTAGCACGTAAATAATAAGGTAAGATCATTTATTTCAAATAACAAAAACACAAGGATGTGAAATCGTACATACAAATTTTGTTTTTTACAGATTGGTTTGTAACCGAATGGAAAATGCTTTATATTAATGGAGAAGCCAGACAAACTATTTTGTAAGTGCTATAAATTTAATACTTTTTAATCATTCATTTTATTGAATCGAAAGTTTGTTGTAACTTGATATTTGTCATAACTTTAATAATGTTTATTTTTATATTATTTAGCGTTAAGAATAAAAGCAATCAGTATTTTGATGTATTTTAAGCATTTTCAGTAATAATAATGCAACGAAGAAAAAATGATATAATTATTAAATTTATCAATAGGTTTCTGTGAGAATATCCTTTTTTTTATTAGCAAAATGTAATTTTTGTAATACAGTCAAAAAGAAATCGAGTGTTTGTTTTCATTCGAAACCCACGTTAATTTGTCGATCGTCGAATAATCAATATTTGCATTTTCTATGTTGTAGACTTGTTAATATCGCGAACAAACTCTTCACGGGGAATTACTTTATTTTCTCAAGACTGGACGTGATAACTTATCGCAAAGAAATACCTGGTTTACAAATTATAATGCATTCATTCGTAGTTCCGTTTACACAGATTGTTATAGTCTGTTGTTTATCACAGTCTGATTTAATAACAATTTATAGCATTATATTGTACAACAATATGAAAAATCCCCTTTTTTAATTAATGAGCGTAGGTGTTTACTACATCTATTAATTTTATTTATAAAATATAGTCACACGTGTTAATCAACAGTTATGTAAATTAATGTTGTTGTTTTTTTATTATTTAATTAGTTTGTAGTGTGTACATAAAATTTTATGTTTTTTAATATTTTTTTTTAAAGAAAATTAAAAAGTAAAAATATTGTTATACAATCAATAAATCAAAGGTTAAGGTAATAGGTGATCGAACTTTGATTATTGTATATCTGGCATATTCCAGCATTAATCAAGTAACAAAATACATTCAAAAAAATATTTGAAATAAAACAGAAGTAACTGAATAAACGATGATTTTTCAAATTTATTTCTATCAAAATTTAATTTGTTTTGAAATTTTTAAACCGGCCTATAATGAATGTTTGTAATAATAAAAAAATTAATTATTTTTATGTTTGAGTAAATTATTGATGAGTTTTATAGTAATAAAATATAAAACAAGTTTGTAATACAAATGTATTTTCGATCATAGAAGAGACCTTCGGGAATACTAAGTTTTGGTAAACAGAGTTTTTGCTTTTTAACATATTTATTGAATTTATGTGACCGAACTTGTATAAGCAAACATCATCGATGAAATATGCTCGATTCAATCATCATTTTATACGTAGGTATCATCGTTTCCTTCCAAACGATGACCATGAAACTGCACGTAATTACTCTCTAGTTGCAATTAAAGACATGCACGTTGTTAATCCGCGGATTTCGGACAAATCTTAAGACCGGATCAAGGTCGGTCGTATGGGCGGAGGATGCAGAAAGTGAAATGAACGTGCTAAAAACGGCATCCATGAACTAGAAATTTACATAAGACTTAATCCATTTTACACAAGTGAAGAAATATTGTTTGAGAGAAACATCGATTATCCAAGGACGGCAAACATTGGGAATTTCGGGTTTCTTGCGTTATCCTCTTAAGGCGTCCTCATTGAAATCAAGTCACATGCTTTTCACGGTTGCTTTTGTATACATAATGACACATGCACAAACATGCAGATTGATTTTGGTATTCATAGCAACGAATCAAATCCGTGATTTATCTGCGATACGTCATCGATGGATGACAAGACCAGGATATCAGATCTATGTCTCATGTTTATTACTTAAGCTCCTTTAGGGTTCAAAAAAAACTTATTTCTTGTATGCACGAAAAAAAATTGTTGAAACGGATTTTGCTTATTTATATTTTGTTAAGTCATTAATAGATCTTGAGCAACTTACTCGTTCGTAGCTAATTATTTGTGGGATTCCTGGGATTTTAGCCTTGGAATATCCGAGGTGTAAAACGCATATATAACTTGAAGCCCGGACGGTAATTGCCAAATAGAACAAAATCGTCTTCCTGCTTGTACAATTAAGAAAGAAGAATCGAAGAAATAGAATCAGTGAACGAAATGATTGGATTTAAATCGTTGTTTTCGGTGAGTATATATAAATATAAATTATTGCAATCTCTTGACGTTATTAATTACTGTCATTGGGTCACAAGAAACAACAACAACAGCAAAAAAAATCAAGGATAAATTTCGCCAATGTTAAAGTGCTTTTAGCAAATTTACATAAACCTTGGTCACCGGAAATGGAGTTGCTATATTGCTTTTAGATTTCGTCTTTTAAATTAGGAGTTTTCTCATTTTTTTTTTACAATTTTTTGTGACGTGCGAGCAAACACAAAACTAGTTTTGCTTCTTTATTTGATGGAGATTTGCATTGCTAGATGTGAGAGAGATATAAAAAAAAGATGTCGAACAAACGAAGAGATCATAATTATATGACACAAATCAAGAAACTACTAGAAAGTCAATAACATTGGATGACCTCAAATATTGGTAACTTGTTTTAGCCAATAATTATTTAGACTAATACATTGATTATTTTGATTTGTTTTTTATTCTTTCTTATTTGGTATTATATCAAATTTATACCGTTATGTTTATATGGTATTTTAAATCGAAATCAACAAACAAAGAAAAACACGAACAGTATTATTGTATTACGTATACTAATTATTAGTTGTAAAAATCATAATATTTATGACTTTTTATTATTCTATAAAACTAGTTTGTTTTTATGTATATCTAAATTTTACAATATATTTCTTATATTATTAAAATTGTAATTTTCAATCAAAAGAGAGTACTTTGTTTCTAAATTAGTAACAGTAAAAACCACATTATTAACCTTTGAACATCTTTATCTCAGACTTAATTTGTATTGATTGTTAAAAAATGTTAATTTAATTGCATTTCATACAATTATTGAATAAATTAGAAAACAATAGATTTATTTATGTTTAAAACATCTTGTTAGCTAGCAAGCAAAATGATAATTGAGATTCCCAAATTGAAAGGACAAAACACAACAACAGAAAATTACAATTACAAATGTATTCTCCTTTGCTATTCACTTCTTCTCAACAAAAAAAAAATAAATAAAAAAAATATTATTAATAGTTAATAATTACTAATTTTAAATAATCCACGAGCTGTCCTTTCACCTTCACCGTACACTACTTGATTGAACGCAAACAGAAGGAGGTGTCGAAAGTGCTCATATTTTCTATTTGACATTCCATTTTGAAGACGTGTATTTGAATAAAATAATGGTTGTAATGTAACACAATATCTTGTAGAGCAGAAAATTTTGTTTCGAATGACGTATAACGTTTACCTACTTTGGCGTGCATTTTTGAATTTGAAAGAAAAACGATTGTAACTAAATTTAGTTATATCTAAATCTAATTTTAAATAAGATGGTAATTGATATTAGTCATATAATTTTATTTAAACTTGTTTATTATTAGTTTAGTTTAATTCCATGATAAGCCTAGCAACTGCAAATAAAAATTAGAAAAATGCAATATTGTGTAGTAGGCCAACAACAAGTCAATCATAAAGTGAATGCTTCATACTAATAATTTTATTGTATTCATATGATTCATATGTAAGAAAATGATTATTTTTATACTTAGTAACAATTTATTTTATATTTTTTAAATACATTTATAGATTTAAATATTAAATTTTTTTTTATTTTAGATATTTGCACTCTTAGTAGTGTGTATAGCATTGACCAATAGCTTGCCAGCTCCAGAACCTTATGGTGGCTACGGACGAAAAATAGCAATAATAAAAATAAAGAAGGTTGGGTATGGCGGACACGGCCATAGAAGTTACGGACATCGAGGATATGGAAATAAAGGCTATGGAGGTGGTTATGGTGGAGGTTACGGCGGTGGTTACGGGGGAGGTTACGGCGGAGGCGGCGGTTATGGTGGAGGAGGCGGTTTTGGCGGCGGATTCGGCGGAGGATTTGGATTTGGAGGAGGTTATGGCAAAGGTTATGGAAAATAACCTCAGTATTTTTTAATCTTCTTAAATTTTGTTAAATAAATTTCAAGTATATCAGTTTTTTAACAAATATATAAATTATTATTTTCTTAATATTAAATTTGCATTTTTATTACTGGCACGATATTTTTCTAATTAAATATAGGGTTTCCATTTCCGGTAAATAATAAAGTTTTACAAGCCAATATGATTATCAACATTACCGGTTAATTTGATAAGAAATAGCGGCAATTTCATTTGTTTTTAATATACAAATTTTTAGTTTTATTTTTATAAATTTTGAGTTTAGTGGTCCATGAAGTCAAAGAGGTTAGCGACCGCTGTTGTCGTATCCCAGGGATGGATTTCTGGACACTGTGGAATATTTCTTCGGTTGTCTGTTGTGAAGCCTTAGGTTTGATAAATAATAAATCAAACGAGTTTTAATTGTTGTTTATTATTAAAATATTCTTCAAAGTGTTTGATTTATTGTAGTTCTTCACTTCATTTTTAGACGCTCTGCTTCAGGTCACTACTCATGTACGGATTCTGCCAATTCTGCATTTTGGTTCCCAGTTGAAAATATTAAGGAACGTTACAATGGGTCTCACGGTGGAGGTTCATTTATGTTTATCTATATGTTTTTATAATAAGGCGACCAAGAGACGCCGTGGATGTCTCTAATTTGTTAATACATACAATATTAACAATAATAATTATAATAATCACGGTTGGACACAACACTGTATTAGGCAACTAATAAACAAATAGTGAGCAGTTTGACACATATCAAAAATAATTTAGAAAAAAATCTCGTATTTTAGAAAAATTAAGTGATCTCAGGGAATTTTGATCAAAGAATTGAAAAGAATAAGTTTTCAAATAAAAGCAACTGACACTTAATCAACATAATGGTGCACTCCAAAAAAAAATTCGATTCCCATAATATTCCACACTTTAATAATGTAAAACATCATCGTGAGTTAAACAACAACTTTCATGAGTGATACATTAATTTCAATGCTTCTCTAATATTTCAATACCTTTCTTGTAGAACGATTTTTCTTTGCATTCAAAATACGCTTCACTTTCGGAGTCAACTTTTTATCTCTTGAGCATTCCTTTTAGGTCTGCAAACAGGTAGTAGTCGCTGGGAGCCAGATCTGGATAATACGGCAATTCGTGCATTTTTGCACATGTGAGCACTTTTTTCTTCTTCTTTTGTCCACAAAGCAGACGACCGATTTAACTCTGAAGTGTAGTGGTGGATCCAGGTTACATACCGTATAAAAAATCCTTTTTATTTCGCTTGAAAAACTCCAAACAGCGCTCGGAATCATTAATGCATCAATTGCATCTGTACTATCGCGTTTAAAATCAGCTAACCACTTCTCCCCATAACACATATCATCCTACAAACTTATTGACTGAGGTATTATACCATAGTTTTGGGCGGACGAAGTAGTAATCAACTGTTGTCTAGAAGTTTTACAGGTAAATTTTTGTAAGATTTAACCGTAATTTATATTGTATATGTACGTCCATATCGTGTCTTTCTCGAAAGACATCTTACCATATTCATTTGTTGTGTCCAATCATTAAGGACAATGACCTATAAGAAGCAATATGCAGAATAGTCAGATCCCACGGAGGGCAGTGACCGATTGTAACGGTCCTTCACATTTTCAACTAAAAACCCAGACTTAGAATAAGCAGTTTCTTCAAGACCAATGATTGAAAAGAACATTTTTCATATTTTCAACTGGGAACTGGGAATGCAGAATCCGTACAGGAGCAGTGTTCTGAAGCAGAGCGTCTTATCAAAACCGTGACCTACTCCTCGTCCAAACGGGGTGGTTGCTCCGCTGAAACCCTTCTCCATACCTACAAAGTTTTCATCCGCCCTATCCTCACTTACCCCATAACAAACTACACCATTGCTCCACCCAGACAACTAAAAAGAATTCTTCAGTTTGAACTCAAATGCATCCGCAAAATTCTTCGCCTTCACTACCGACACCCTTCTTCCACCCTCTATAACCTGGTCACCTTCCCAAAGGGGCAACATTCTCCAAAGTTCCAAAGAAAAAATCCCTCACCCCCCTGCCGTGCTGGAGTCCTACGCTAACTCCAACGACCCCACATTAACACAACTTCTCCAAGACTTTAAAAACACTCCTACGCAACCCCTCAGTGATGTAAAACATTCTCCCTACGCTTTTTCGTGCAGTGAAGTAATATTTGTTTAAGTGCATATATATTTGTGTCCTCGCTCAGTTCATTTATTTGATTTACTAATATTTATTTGTGTTCTTATATCTCTGTTTATTTGCTTATTATTATTATTGATGTTTTTTTTTTGTAAAACCTAATAACAGAAGGCTGAAAGAGGCTAAAGCCCATAGCAGTCTACATTTAATATCACATCCTATGTCATTGTAGTACAAATACGTAAATAAAAATTTTAAAATTGGACCTACTCCTCAAACTCTCGCCTATAGAAAGAGCGCTAAAGACACAACTACAGAGTTTTATACGTATCACACTTTAAATAATATTTTTAAATTAAATAATAAACTACAATTAAAACTCATTAGATTCATTATTTACCAAACCTAAGGCTCCACAACGGGAAACAGAGGAAAATATCCCACAGTGTCCAGAAATCTATTCCTGGGATTCCTGGTATTTATTTTCAATAAATTCTTACAAAGTGAAGTCAAGTTTTAATATGCATTGAATATTGATTGCTTAAAAATAACACTTTTTCATAAATCAGAAGTTTTTCAATGTCATTTAAGTAAATTTTGCTTTTATTTTCAACAGAATTAAATCTCAATATACGCAGTTATGAAATGAATTAAAATAAATTTCAATAATGCTGCATATATTTTCAAAGAATTCAAATTAGAAACAATTATTTAAAATGAACGTATTGATTAATGTGACAATTTTTTTTTTTTTTAATTTAAATTATTTCTCGAATAATAAGATTTTTACTTAACTCATGACAAAGAAAAGAAGATAATAATAGAATTTTTGTAAAAACTACAATTCTATATTATCAATATACATACATTTCATAGCACCCTTCATCTCCCTTATAGATTTTAAAATTAGATGAACGTTATTTGTTTTTATTGTTAAAATTAATATTTATTTATAATTATATTTTGCAATTGGAATGTTTACAATGGAAAACTATTCTGCTCATTATTATATTTTCAGAACTACTAGGTATCTCTCGACTTATGAACTCTTGAATTTGCGAAGAAAATTCTAAAAGCTCTAACTTGTTACGAGTAGATATATAGTGATTAAAAAATAACTGTGCAAACTAAAATTGATATTTTCTTTAATAAAATATAATATTTTTGAAAGATGTACTATCTGTTTTGTTGCAAAAATGTATGCAGTCAGTAATACGTAAGTTAACATATATAAAATTAAAAAGCATGATAAAGTATATTTTGAAATTTTTAAAATTCCTCCGACTTACGAACAAATTCGACTTACGAACAATCGTTTGGAACGGAACTAGTTCGAAAGTAATGGGATACATGTATTTACTCATTACCACCATGTGGCAGATTACAAATAATAATAAATTTATTAAAAAAATAGCAAAATTAAAATATAAATATTTTGTTTAATTTATGTTGTCTTCGATTAATCCGGTTTCAAACAGTTTTCAAGAGATGGAATAAAAATCGTTCAATATATTTAAATTAATACTTTGACCTGAATAATTTTATTTAGATTTAATTATTAAATAGAAAACGTATTTATCAATTCAAATAATTTCTCTTTTTTTCTTGATATTTCCACAAAGAGAAACTATCAAACTATGTAATAATCCTAATTAACAGAACCATTTATATTTATGATTAGTAATTAGATAATTTTGTATTTCTGCTATATGAATTGACATAAAGAATACAAATCAAGTAACTTCTGTCATGTATTCTAATTTTAAATATCGTATAGTAATTACAACAGTATAATTCTTAAGTACTGAATTTAGGCTGATTAATTAATATAACAAAAAAAATTAAGTGTATAGGAAATATGAATTGTTTAAAAGTATATATGATTATCGTAGTACATTACAATTATTTTGATAAATTTACAAATACTTACGTTGCTTACATTAATTATAGACATTAATTATGAATCGATAAAATTAATGTTTCATAAAAGTGCATTTTCATTTACTTCATTGGGTTTTACTTGAAAAAATGTAGTATGTATATACATATGGTTTACTATATAGTAAACCATAAGTGAATTAACAGTTTCGTTACGTAAAAAAATGATTTCACAAAATATCCGATTGTATCCACCGGTGTAATTTGCAGGAAATACAACAAAAACAACAACAAAATTAAAGATAATTCTACTTAATAATCACGCAATAAACTAGAGACTCCTGTTTTTTTTCCTTTCAATATATTTTTAAAAGTAATGTAGCACAAATGCACTGATTGCAAGTGCAAGTATTTATATAAGTAATTCCAACAAATTACACTTTTACTAAGGCGTAGGCAGTCCCAAGGTGATGTATCTTCGCGCGCCCAAAATATCACGTCCACGTAATTACGATCATCGGAAGAAGAAGCACTGTCTGTTATTTTTTTTTTATTTTTTTTTTGTTTGCACGCATCGAAGATTCCAATTGGAGACGGAATGGAAGAGTCACGGACATGACCGTCGTCGCGTAGTGATCTCAAGGAAATGGATGATGATTATGGGTGGACTTCGATAATCTGTTTTAGAAATTCGTGGATTCCCAGATATGCGTCTCTCTTCTAACGGCGGTTCAATAGCCTTGGCCATTTTTTCGGCAGGGTATATAACCCGACCACAGCGAACACCCAACAACCAAAAACGATTCAACATCTCATCTACTAAGATCAACAAGCAGATCCATCTAAAAACATGAACAAGGTAATTCATATTTATTTTACAATAATAGATAAATCACTTACTTAATTTCAATAAAAGACATTATTGAATTTACAAATATTACCTTACAATTTCAATTATTGTCACTTCAAAATTAATCTTCATTTACTTGAAATAAAAATCACTATTAATCTTATAAATTGTTCATTAACTTCTAAATAGAAGACACAATTAATCTAATATATCTTGTACTTTTTCAGTTATTCAGCGTACTTGTATTGTTGGCTGTCCTTGCTATGTGCTCGGCCCAATACTATGGATACGGTCGTCCAGGTTACGGAGGATATGGTGGATACCGTGGAGGATACGGCGGTGGTTACCATGGAGCCTACGGTGGATACGGTGGTTACGGAGGTGGTTATCATGGAGGATACGGAGGCGGTTACCGTGGAGGATATGGTGGATACCGTGGTGGATACGGAGGAGGTATCAAAGTTGGAGCCATTGGTGTCGGAGTTGGTGTCGGTGGATTCTACGGTTAATTATTATACTTATCACCCTTAATTTTATCAATAAATCACTATTTATTTATTTATATATAAACATATATCCAGTCTTTGATTTCAACGAAAACCAATTTACCAATTTTACGTTGCCTAAGTTGATCAATAATAATCTTATTTTATTGCGAATGAAAAATCAACAATTATTTACCTTTCAAATACATAAAATATACTCAGTTATTTACTAAATGTCTCAAAACATTGAATTCATAAAAAAATCTTATAGGTTTGTTTCTTTAAAAAAATTTGAGATTGACTTGCTCAAGATTAATTAAAAATGAATTAATATATATATATAATATTTGTAGTCTTTAAATATTATTAACTAAAGATAATTAGAAACTATAAATATTGAAAAAACAAATTGCTTGTTGTTTCATAAATATAATTTTAAAACTTGAAGTTTGTTTCTTTTTCTAAAAAAATAATAACTTTTTGTATAACTAAAAAATAATGTGTTTACAAACATAATATAATAATACATGTTAAAATTATACATTGCAATAAACGGAAAGAAATAAATGTTGCTTTTATAAATATTTTAATATTTTGTTTATTCAATTATTCAATTATAATATCAAAAAAAATTCGCTAAATTGTGAACTAATTTCATTGAAATTATGATAGAATCTTAACTACTGTACTTTTCTGCTTTTGCTATAGATAATATCATACTGTTGCAGATAATTGGGAACGTATCCGTTTCCACCAATAGATGGATGCATTCCTGAAGAACCAGGATGACCGCTGTATCCTCCATAAACAGGATTGAAACTACCCATCATGGAAGGATTATAAGGCATCTGCTGCATTTGAGGATGAAACTGATGGAAACTGTGAGGTGATCCCATCCCCATACTTCCACCAAACATTTTACCTATTGAGAAAAACATTAACACTCAAATCTATTAATATTGAAATATTGTGATTATTTAGAAATGACAATATAAATTAATTGAACTGTTTTAGACTTGCCAGTTAATTGCGGATCATTGGTATTCTGAAAATGTAAAAATTAAACATGTTTTTTTTAATAGAAGTAAACATGTTTTACCTGCTCTGGAATCGGATTGGCTTTAATGGAAATAACAACAACAGCAGCGGCGAAGACGAAACCATAAAATATCTAAAATAAGAAAACTTTAAAAGGAGACACTTCAACAAGTAATAATAACATACTGAGCGACTCATTCTATTTTACTTTAGTATTAACATTATCCTTCAGGTGGATTGAAATCAACTTATATAGTGGAACTCATTCATTATAATTCGGTGTTATCTATTCACGGAAAACGGCTATTTACGAAGCGCATGAATATGGAAACACTTGTAAATTGGAACAAAAAAAACATCGATTTACACTGAGTAATTAAGATTTTAAAAAAAGAACGAATATTCCATTGTGCCTTTATTCGTAGAGAATTCGTCACATTTGTTTATAGACTTATTTACTTCCCGTTTTGGATTATCTTTGCCCATGGAATATATTTTCGTTAATTTATTGTCTATACTTGATTTTAAACAAAATGATTATTTCTAGATTATTATTATTTGCACTTACCAGAATACCTTAAATATGTTTGTTAAAAAATATTAGGAAGATGTAATTTTCTACATACTTGTATTATTTTGATGCAATATGAAGTGGAGTGAAACACGTTTTTGAACAATAATATATCTCCCTTTATTTAATTACAAATATATATATATATATCTCTTCCCGGTTATAAAAAATAGAATCATCGATAAAAACAAATCCTGTTAATAGTGTCCATGTTGACCACCTCTGTGATGGCTGCCGCCTCCATGGGGATAACCACCTCCATGGTGACTACCACCATGGTGATTACCACCTCCATGGTGATTACCACCATGATGATGACCACCGCCTCCGTTGTAACGACCTGGGTCAGCTTCGGGGACGGCGGCCGGGATCGCCATCGCGAATGCAATGAGAGCACTCAAAAAGATGCAAAAAATCTAAGACAAATATAGCCGATCAGCAAATATTGTTACAATCTATTATTCGCACTTACCGCAAGCTTAACCATGTTTCTGTTTTAGCTAAGAGGTGTTCTTACTGAATGTACATCTCGGTGCAAATGCTACCTTTATATACGGGATGAGGATACTTGTTTTTGGTGGCAAGAAGTGCGTCATATCCCGGAGTTTCCAGAATATTTTCTTGCGCCTTTCGCGACGAAAACACAATCGTATTTTGCCAATTAAGAAACCGGTTGGTTCAGTGAAAACGCATAACTTTTGCAAAAATAAGATGCATTAAACCGATAACAAAACAATATATTTCCACACCTTTAAAATTTTTGAATTATGTACAAAAAAGAAAGCAATTGTTGTTGTTATAAAAAGATTCGCCTTAATTGCTCACATTAATTTAGTTTTAATTAGTGTCAAAAATATGTGTACATTATATATAAACACATAAATCACTATATCATTTTAATTGATTTTATTATATTTTCTTTGTTCATATTGGAATAGAAATAAATACGTTTCTAACGAATTGCATAATAAGATCATTTAACCGTATTTGAAAGTTTGTGGAAACTTCATTGACGTAAATCGATTTTTCTTTTATAAAAGTAGATTTAGATCTCACTTTTTAAATCGTATCTAACAGAATAAATATATGAAGAGAATATTTATTATCAAGGAAAAAAATGTTTAGTAAGATACAACTATAAAGATATTTCATTTCATTATTTAACAAAAAAAAAGCAATGTAACAAATTAAGAAGAAACAAATTATTTCGTTATAATAATAATATTTAGTGCAACAAAGAGAAAATAAAATAAAAGCTTTCGATACAATAATAATACTAAAACAAAAATTAAACTGCTATTTACAATTGGTTTTTCTGTCCAATTCAATTATATTTAATGTGATTTAATGTAACATAATTAAAAAGTTAATTTTATAAGATTGAATTGTTTTATTTTTCTATTATAATTATTTAATTATATTTTAATTTTATTTGCTTATGAAAAACTGTTTCATAAGAATTACAATATCAATATATATAAATTCAATTTTTATTCAGGTTGAAGAAAATTAATGTAGATTTGGTTGCCAAAGCAAAGTTTTAAAAATCATTTTAATAATGTATAATTAAAATCATGTTTGTTTGGGTAAGAAAAATAACAGAGAACGGTATATTATATTTTATCGTGTGTATGACATTTGTGCTTGAATTGAAAGTTGCTAAATGCGTATAAAGTTGAAGGCATTTAAATTTCAAGGAGCGTGTTTAATCGGTTGCCTTCATATAATCATTATGTTTCCATTTTTTTAAATATCAAATAACATAAGCAAGGTTCATAAAGTAAACGAAAATTATATAATTTTAATTCAAATTGCAGATTTTCTTTAATAATATATGTCATGCAGTATCAACGCCGTGCGGTATTTTAGTTAAATGTTTATTATGTTTATAAAACTTTCAGAAATGATAACAACTATTAATTGGTTTACATTTTATTGGACTTAGTAATGAACAATAGTAGTTGGAACACCTAATATATTCAGTTGGCAACTAAGTGATTGCGGATGTTGTCCACCTATTGTTTTAGCACATTCTTTTGTTTCGTCAACGTGTAAAAAGCACCTAACATATTGTTTTCATGTTGTTTGGACTTCCACCTTTAATTTAGTAAAAATGTTGTATCGATTAGTTATTTAGTTTTGTTTTTATTCCAATTTAAAAATGGAAGAACAAGACATCTCAGACATTGAAAATAATTGGTTTGTCAAATTTTGTTCTGGTGATTTTTAACTGAAAAATGCGCAACGACCAGATCGTTAATAATACATATATCTAGGGCTTTATCGATTCAGATCGTCACAGCACAACACATGAGATTGCAGAGAAACTCAATTTATCGCATAGATCCATTCAAAAATTAAAACAGTTTGGCAAAAATGTTGAATTTTCCTTCTTAATTAAAATATGCAATCACTTAGAAGCTAATCCAATACATGTATCAAAATTACCGATTTTTACCGATTGTTTTGATAATAAATGCAGCTATTTTTGTATTAACTAAAATCAATTTAAAAATTAACGGTAATTTTCAGATATGTAAATTTAGTGTTAAACTTAATTTACAGACATGTATGCATATTCGTATTTCTTATGTTTTTTATTTTTATTCTGGAACGGGGTCCGTCCATGGATGCGGTTCAAGCAAAGCATCCATGCGCATACACAACATCCATGGATCCTGTGGTTGCGCCGAAACCATGTACTGACTGGCGCCACACACGATTACTGTCAGGAAAAAGCGAAGTAAATTTGTGTTATTTCCTTAGATTTGTTTCCATTGTTTAAGATTTTTCCCTAATAATCGGCTGCCCCGATTAACCGATATCCCATTTAAGCGGAATCGACAGTATTTTGTATTTATTGTATAGTTCTAAAAAAGTATATGCAGAACAGTTCATAAAATATGCTGAATTTATTTATATTTTATTCTATTTTATTGAAACTTAGTTATACAGGCGATCATTTAACGTATTTATATTATTTTTGAATGTAGTTTACCATGCATATTTCGTTGCATGGTCAAACTTAGAAATTCCGTACTTGTCTTGAGATAGCAAACGCAGTAACTTTAGATTTTCAGAATATCCTGAATTTCACTTATGCAAACATTTTATTATTTTGACAAAAATATATAATCTGGATTATCTACGAGCCGTCGAAAAAAAAAATAAAAATAATTGATAGAAAAGATCCTTACTATTTGTGTAATAAATGGGTTAAATAATATACGATCATGGTTGAAAACACAGATGTATGTCTTCTTCTTCCTTCCCTCTTCTTCATTTGGCTTCCGCATTACGCGCCAATAAGCCAGCCACTGACTACATTTGGAACACAAAATAACTTATTCTTCGGATTACTTCTTCCGCCCAAATAATTAAATTAACCAGCTTCTCCCCATGAACCAAAACTTCCTTCTTCAGCACAAATAATCAAAATAAAGAACTTCTTCTAACTCAACTAAAAAATAACTATTAAATCAAACTAAACTAACTTCTATAAAATATGTATGTAGGAGAGATACGGCAAGACAGGTAAAAACAAGAAAGGTAACGGATCGAACATAAATATATAACGAGTTTCGAACCGGGGTCTCAGCGGTTCAGTACTCAGGTTCCTGGAGAGACCTCGGAAGGGTATAAATTAGAAAGGTTGACACGTTAAAATTATATAGAGGCATTAGATGTTTTAAAAAACTTTAGTATTGCTCTGTAAACGCGAACGTCCTCGGATTGGAAGAGACACCGTATGGACGTGGGCATGGGAATTCTATTATGCAGCAATTACTCATAAAGAACCCCGGATGCCTCACTATTGTGTTCACATGCGAAGACGACGTGATCCAGCGTCCCCACTGACCCGCAACTACATCTGTCCGAATCCTGCCACCCGATTCTGTCTAAATGTACCGGAGCCCGAGTATGTCCGGACCGCAAACGACTAAGCTTGGCAATGTCCGCTTTACACCTAAATCCCATCTTCTCGTACCACGGACGTCTACTCACTACTCTTCTAAAGTTGAAGTAAGATGTGGCTTTGTATATACTTTCCGCCTCATATATCCTCTGCCATTCCAACATCGAATGGACCCTGATGTAGAGGCCGATATCTGTGTTATGTTTCTAAGAAGCCCAGCGTGTCCATCCGTCGCCAACTCATCCGCCCTCTCGTTTCCACTGATACCCTGGTGACCTGGAACCCAGCATAAAATCACAGAGAACCCCGCACGTTCCATCCTGCAGATTTGTGTCCTGATTCGTACCACCCTGGCTGCCTATCTATGGCACTCAGAGAATCAGAACACACTACCACACTCCGGATATCGGAAGGGACCCATCCGTAAATACCTCTGTGTGCGTGGGGAATTTTTACCTCTTGAAACCCTCGAAAGCACGGTTCAGCCGCCATCCCGAGTCGACGAGATCGCTTCTGCACAGGGGAAATCTGCACACCCTGATCGTATGAGCCTGATCCTGCAACGTTGGCACATGTAGGTTGGATATCGCATTCACGTCGATGTGTTCCTAGCAGGGGGACCAAGTCATATGAGAAATCTGTTGTATAGCCACTGCGGTGGCGTTCCTTAGTACATGGAGAGCACATAACGCGGCGCCATAAGCACCAGCAAATATAAAAGCGCCAAATAATTTGAAATTTAAAATAATAAAAAAAATTACTATATCCTATCAAATAGTTTTTATTGTTTTAACGTTTTCGCACTATTTA